CCTCAGCCAGGGTCAACCCACCACAGTTTAAAATATTTGAAAAGATTTTGCTCTATTTAATATCATAAGTAATTTCAAAGATGGGGAAAACACAGACCATGTGACATTACTACAACACATAGCTACAAGAACTAAGTGTAAAAATAAACAGTGAATTTTCACAAAGAAATTTAATTCTCTCCTTCTATCAAGCACTATTTTGTATACTGTACGACACAAACTGGGTAACGAGATGTAACACTATAGATAACTTCACAATCTTTACAATGGTGTTCCCTTTCAGTAGAAACTCCAGGGTACTACATGTAGCAGAAATCCTGGAAAAGCACACTGAAGCAGAGAAACGTCAATACTGGACGAGACAAGGTCCCACCAATGCAACCCCCATTGAGGCAGGCAGACAAGAGGTCATTTTCCTCCTCCCGTTTTCTCCAATTGTTATTCTAACAGACATATTGGCTATAGCCAGGCTTTATCTTGTGAAAATGATATCATGACACATCTTGTTTACCTTAGAAAGGCGCTAAGTCCAATTTTTTTACTAGCTTCCACAAGAGATTTTTTTCAGGCCCAAGATCACGGTCACTTTTGTGTAGATGTCCCTAGTTCTGGAGTGCACTTTAGAAAACAGGGCTACCAACGCCTACACGAGGCCTGCTACAAAGGCCTTCCAAGCACAGCCAAAGAACTTCTTTCAAATTTCACCAAGTATCATGCATATCCTCACTAGTTTCAGTTTTCTCTGTCCAAGCTACACTGCTTTACAAGTATCATCAAAATTGAGCTTTATTTCTTTGAATTTCCCTTGAGTCTTCTACTGGCACGTTAAGGCTAAATAACTGCCATGTGTAAGCTTTGCTCCCTCAAAGAACACGATGCGTACGTAGGGTTTTCTCCATTTTAGCTGGACTTCCGTAACTGACAATATTTTGCCTTTTCTCTCAAATTATCTAGATTTAAAGCAAGGTCATAGTCTCATCTTCCTGCAGCCTCTCTTCCCTAAGTTACATGGAAGGTAGTACCATCCTGGAGCAACTTCTGTATTGAAGACACCCAAAACCGTACTTCAACAAACTCCTTCCCCTTCATTTTACAGCTGCACAGCTTAGTCACAGACTAACTCTGAGTTTACAAAAGAGCAAAATTCTGGCTGCTGTGAGAGCCTGCCTACAAGTATTATACGCTCACAAGGTCATTCAAGCACATAAATTCATTTGCTGTGAAATAAATTATAAGCATATAGAGAGACTAGGAGTTTATTATAATCAAAAGAAGTCTAGATATTTATATGAATAATGATGACATCAGTTATAGGTATTTAACAAGTGAAAGATATAAATCCTTTGTTGTCCACAGCTAGCTCTGTAACTGATAGATGAAATTAACAACGTGTCCAGAGTCAAGCTAGCCATTCGCTGCATGACTAAGAATTTTTTCATCTTCAGCTGATCAGTTACTGGCCACTGTTACTGACAGAAATTTCTGCATACCCACAAAGAGGACAGTATATTTTTTAATACCCACAGAATTTCTTCTGTGAAAGGAAACTGTATATAGGGTACCATTTTCTTGTCTCATTCTATTGTTCAAACTGGATTAGAAATGTTTCTTTTTCACTTTATAAAATATTTGTATTAAAATATCACCAGGAAGCATAGTCAGGGCACATAATTCACTGCATTAGGCACTGTGTGACATCTGAATATGCCACTTGCTTTACCTATCATAAGCTGAATTGGATTCCTATCCATACGCTGAATTGGATTATACAATATGAAGAATCATCACCAGAGAAGCAGCTAACAGCTTATTCAACGCATTACCACAGCTCTGTTTCTACTTTGCGGGAGAACCCAAAGAAGTGTGTTGGGAGGGAAGAGTTGAAAAAGAAAGCTGAAGAAAGTTTGGGGGGTTTATATACATATACACATATATCACATCTAATCTCTAAAAATTACATAGGGAATTCGGTTTTTCTTCTTAGTGTGCCAAAGCGGCAAGTTAACTTCAAAGAATGTGAAAAGTCCAACACTGAGGAATTTTAGATCTACTTTAGCTTTAAGGAGAGTGCCCAATGAAAATATTACCAAATGTTTTCAGAATAAAGTTCCTAAAATCATCCACTGAAGCTGGAGATCTGCAGACTACTAGCTATTGTTTCTTGCAGTTCCTCTGATTGACCCATATTTCTATCTAATTCCAAGATTTTGTATTTTTATAATCTGTTTTCTCATCACTGCAAAATAAACTTCCAAAACACATCTAAGTAAAAGCTGTAAGTGAACTAACATAGATTTGCTGAAGAAATATATGTTGAATACATATACCTAAACAGGCACACACACACTTGTGTCCCCCAAACATACACAGAGTATAGCAGTACATAAAAATAAATGGCCAGTCATCCCAAGATTCCACACAGAATAACCTATAAGCAATAAAAGGTATATTATACCATAGAAAGTGCAAAGCTTTTGCGGTAATATCACAGTGTGCTGGTTTCAACACAGCAGAAATTATATTGCACCACACATACAACAGAAAGGTAACAAACAATGGGAAGAATTTTTCCCTGAAAGAGAGTCGAAAGAGATATTCAGAAATATATGGCTAAAAACACAAATTACTATTAATCTTGGCCATGATCCCCAACTCAAGTGCACGCCTCCATGATGCAGAGCTCCCTATCCAATACCAGCCTTTCACATCACTCACGTCTACCACCTATTTACTACCATCAGATGTCGTAGTGTCTCCCAAGTCCTCCCAAAGCTTTCGTATCTCACCACCAAACAACCAGTGCCCGGTGTCTGTTCCCCATGTCTCCCACCCTCCCGACGCCACAGAGCACTACATCACCGTTCCCACCTTTCTGAAGCACAGCATTTCCACAACCTCACCCCAGGTCACCACAGCCTGACTGCTCTCCTGCTCCACGCCACTATCACGTCCCCCTTCCAGATCTCACACACATCCCAACACTTTCCAAAACCAGAAGCACAGCATGGTGCTTCCCCAGCCATACCCCAAAATCCAGCCTCCCTGCAACACATCACCTTCCCACTGTCTCCCACTGTGGTAGCCTGAACCATGCCGACTCAGTGGAGTGTTCCCATCCACTCCGGTGCTGGGCGTCGTGGCCAGCTGGGAGGCAATAAGAATTCAGACCAGCCAAGGTGGGCAGTGGAGGAGAACAGATAGCCAAAAGAAGAGGGAGGGATGCAGATGAAGAGGTAAGAGAAAAGAAAGGAAAAGAGAAGGAGAGAAAAATGACAGCAGACAAGGGATTTTACCCGACCACAAACCATCCAGAATTAAGGATTAATTAAGGATTAAATTAAGGACCACAGGCCTTTGATCCCCCCCACTATGGACTGTAGGATGAAACTCAAAAGAGCTTCCTATGGGGAAATGTTTCCCTTCATCTTTAACAATAATAAATACTTACACTTTTCTAAGCTTCAGGAAAAGACCAAGTATTTGAAAACAAGAAACTCAAAAGATTGTGACACTTCAACAGAAGAAAGTGGAAGTTCTTTTTTAAAATGTTGAAAGAAAAAAAAAAAAAAGAGAAAGAAGAGCAATAAAAGGCATTTTATTTAAAAGAAAGAAATCCAAAAAACTACGCAAGATAAATATCTCAGATTTTACCACAAAATTGTACTAATTATTTAAATAGGATCTAGCATTCAGATTAATCCCACAAGACTTATAATTCAGGTAGTTAAAAAACAATATTACTTTATATATCCTGAAGATGTCAGAGGAGACCAAAATGGAAAGAAAATTAAAAATTAGAAAAAATAGAAAATTAGAAAAAAATATTCTAGCTTAGAATGCTACAATTGCTTAAGTGCTTCAGTCAAACTGATATACTAAATAAATACAAAAACTTTCCATTTGCAACACAGCATCTGCTAATTATAAGACTAAGTCATTGTCTAATAATTTTTTGATTACATAGTATAAAACGAGCAGTAGTGACAAATACGCACAATAAACCTCAGGATGATTCTGACTGTTTGATAGTTCAGCCCTCCCACAACCTATTTTTGGAAGCCAAAATTTGAATACCATTAAACCAAAGGAGAAACAGCTGGCAAGATACCATATACAACACCAACAACTGATCTGCAGGGCTAACAGCATGCTCCTCACTGCATCCTGCAGCACAGAGTGGAAGTACACAAGCTAGCTCAAGTACAGAAAACAACCTAGCAACATAATGTGAGCTTCGTGAGAAATATTTCATCATTCTTTCTAGAAGCCAACAAAAGACAGGGTAAATTAGTCACTATTGCAGCAGAATGCTTCTGAATTAGGTTAGGTATCTGTATATTATATGGCTTTCATAAAGGTCACAGGGCCAATAATTCTCTTTTAGGGCATAAACTGTAATTCAAACTATGCCTTATTGTAGTGCAATGTCTTCCAAAAGCTAAATATCTAGCTGCTGTCTCTGAAAGCATTTTACACAAATACAAACCAATAAGAAATTAATTGCTTCGCAAAAACATTGTTGCCCAAAAGAACACGTTATTACCATAGAATTTTCGTGTTATTAAATACCTTTATCTACAGAAGTCATATGAAAAAGCTGAAGGTACTAATGAGTTCTGTCCATACCATTTCTCAAGTAGGAAGCAGACAGTAAGAACTACAGTAAAAAGTTTTGGGGGTTACTTTAAGTCAAAGACTAGTGTGAGTCATACGAGCGCAAGCTAAAAATGCCTCTACAAGTAACTAAGAAGGACTCACCAAGTTCATTGAGACTCTGGGCAGCTTTTGTTATCTCTCTGCTTCCTCCTTGCAGTTGTCCTTGAAGTCTCTTACTGAGATACAAGATGCGTATTATCCTCCGCAGCAAGTCACAGGCAGCCTGCAGAGAAATCATAGCATTAGGGGATATTATCAGTACATTATGATCACATAATATTAGGCCTCAAATACAGAAATACTTTAACCAAAAAAGGAAATATGAACATGAATAAAACCAAGGAACTTTAGAACACTGAAATCCCTTTGTTCAGGATTTTCTTAACATGGTTTTATGCAATATAGACCAATACTTCCAAAAGATGGTAATTATATTCCCAGGGCTACTGAGATTATGCTGTCATTACTATTAAAAAAAAAAATAAAGGAAACTCAGAACCCTATGACAGAGACATGGTTCACTTTCTAACTAGAAGTGAGCCTTATTTTACATTGTGCATCTATTCTCAATATTCCTCCCCTCTGTAAGCTTTAGTAAAATTAAGAAGTTGGCCTTGCCAATCAAAGACTGATCCAAAATAAGCAAAATGGCAGAACTTACTTCAGAGGACAATAGAACTTAAAGGCTAAATAGTTACTACAGATACTGACTGTTATGGTAGGAATATATGTAAAAACTGATTTTCGGCAAAACTTTCATAAGGTCAGTCACCTTCATTCACCCAACTGTTAGTTCACATCCTTTCATAGGTTTAATAAAATATACGGCATTCTTGGCTAAAACTTAAGAAGATGGGTGCACATGTAAATTTTCAGGAAACATATTTGTGTATGTTTTTGTCAGCACCAATTTAGAAAAAAGGCATTGTTGACAGCAGAATCAACCGTAACAGTTTCATAACATTTCACTCAACCAATATCTTGAAACAGGTTTTCTCCTTTTACACAGAAAATAAGAGAGACAGAGAAACAGTAAGAGTTACATTGAGTGTAGAGTTTCTCTGAGGCTGGATTGGGTCAGTGGGACTAGGAGGTACATGCAATGGGAACAGCAACATTCTGGAGTGGGTAACAGCTAAACTAGAATTCAGAAATGCAATTCAGGGGAATGTAAAAAAGTATGTGGATTCCAGTACATTCACAGGTACAGTCCAACATTTGCAATCAGATTAACAAGGGAGCTGAATGAGAAATTTGGAATGAGGAAGACAGTTGGTTCTGAGTATTTTCCCTGGTACTGAAGACAAAGCCTCCTGAAATATTTATCTTATGGATATCAAAATTAAATTAAAATGACTTTAAAAAATATTTAGTATCTTACAGACTTTGAACCCCTTTTTTAGACTCAAGTTAATGCCTTGAAAACTAACGTTACAGTGCGTATATGAAAACATACACAAGTGAGTCATTTCAATCAATATTCAGTCGACTGTACAACTTGTAAGTCTCTTCCCTATGCCAGCACGAGGCAATCAAAACACAAATATTTATCATTTAATTTTATTAAACATCTAGACAGAAGAAAAAGGAAAAATTGGAAAAAGCCCCACAGAGGCAAATCACTGAAAGCACAACTACTCTCACCGCTTTTGGCTCTCTATCACACAGTCTGAAGTGCAAGTTTCCTAAGCATTCTACAACAACTTAACCACATGATTTCTATTACCATTAGTAAGAACCAAGTGGGGCTTATCCTACTTTGAGAGATTAACGTATTAGTTTTTATTAATTCATTTCTTTAATTAGAAAAATCTTGATCCACATATCACTTTCATATCTGTGAACTAAATTTCTGCAAGATGAATCAAAAATAACTTTTTATATAGTGCACTGTGCTTCACCAAATAAGAGGGCATAGTATTACTACTTTGCTTTCAAATTTAATTACTCTGTAATCCAATTGTGTATCTCTGGCTAATGTTTTTCCCTAGGAATTCAAATTCAGTAATCTTCTGACCCTCTTTTACTTTACATGCCAAAAGATTATTTCTTTTTCATTTGGTTGTTGCTCATTATCTCCCACCCCATGAAACAACCTTTTAAAAGGACTATCACATTGACTAAGAGATGGGAAAGTTACATTTAGATACAAGAGCAAAAACATTTTTAAATTCTGGCCCTGTGAATTAGGAGGAGGAGAAAAATCCAAAGACACTGAAGATGGACTCCTAAATTCACAGTGATTGCTATTGCATTGTGCCCTTGACAAAGATTCTGTTTCATCCAAGTACTTCCATTTACATGAGCTGTTCAACTTAAAAAACTCCTAGTCACTGTAAAATAATGCAGTATATGAGAACCATGTAATGGAAATAAAAACTACTATCTAATAGTGGAGTTGTTCACAGATGCTAGATCCTCTAACCTGACCACCTGTGTAACAGAAGTCTGAATTAATTCAGGAAACATTCCCTTCCTGAGTTGATATAGTATGCTTTTCTAAAGGATATGCTTTCATCCAAGAAGGAATTAATTCCACTGTTCAAGTAAGAATTCATTTGGAAAAGGCCAGTGGCCTGAGTTAGTCCCAGTGTTTTTTTGTAAAATTAAAAATAAAACCTGATTTTTCTCGAGATTACATGTTAGTTATCTCCTGAAACTTAAAGGAGCATATCAACATAACACACATTATTGCTACAATTCGAGCAATCAAAAAGCCTCTTGCAATTAATCTCATGTTAATTTTAAGAAATGATTAAAGAAAACTTAATTATAAAGAGAGGACCACTTGAAAATGTGCCAGTGTGTAACTCATATATGCAATTGCATATTTCTGCCAGATCATAATGTAATTGAATGTCTCTATAACAGAACCCTGAAGAAAGATGAGACAGTCCACTATCTTCAGACTACATTTACTATTTAGTTACAGTAGTACCAGGATGAAATCTGCTACCTTTGAATATATTAAAGAGAGACTAATTTTAAAATACAGAATTATTATTTTTTAAAGAGTTTTAAAAATTTGGCTACTATAAAGATTTTTAAACACTAAGATATCTGAAATTAAGAGAACATGTAGAAACACATGGTTAAATAGAGCTGCACAGAAAATAACCCTCCGAAGGACAAACTCTCTGTCTACATATTTCAGCTGTTAACTATTCCCATTTAGCTTGTGATCTACTATGGAGAGACTCAGAAGAGCACAGTATGATTTAAAGTAGGAAGTAAGCTTTGTGAGTCTGCTGCTCCCTTGAGATGCCATGAAGCTCTAAGAGCAGAGCAAGACAGAATATACACAAGCACACAGATGAGGTTTAGAATTCAGGACTACATTTGAAGTTTGACAATAAATTTGCAGTGAGAATGTTTATGAAAAAGCCAGGCTATATTAAAAACAATTAAGGATGGCAAAATCCAGCTTTATGCAAGCCAAATATTCCTTCAGTTTGTGAGCAGTCCCACAGCAATCAACGGAGAAGCACTAAAATAATACCATCATGAGTATAAGAGGCCCTTAAATACCACAGTTCAGCAAAACACACCTGCCAACTCCACAGATTTTGACAGAGAGCAACCTCTTTTATCAGTCATCTAGTTTTTTCTACTTATTCTACCACTTGTACATCAACTGATGAAATTAGCAAGTTTGAAAGTGCCCCATGCCACGAGTCTCACATTTGGGAGCAATTTCATGTCATAAGCCCTGCCACCACCAGGAAGTGAATTGTTTGGGGTGCTGTTGCCCTTCCTTCCTGAACAAACAAGAAAAAAAACAGCAGTGCAGGAGGGTCGAGATTTCAAAGGCCTATTGACTCAACTCTCCACAAGTCCAGCTTGATCTCATAATTCAGGTGTCCTGACCCTCAACTCCTCCCAGCAGTGTAGTGCCACATAAACCACTTGTTAGGTATCTGCCAAGAGAAGAAGGGACAGCAGCTCTCGTGCTGAGGATGCACTCCCACTGGCAGAGAAGCTGGAGTCGTCGTTTCTGTTTTTACACTGAAGTAAGTAAGTGGATTTGGATGCTAGGAAGGGTATCCTAGCAGGCTCCCCTTACCCTGCACCTCTTTTTTCTTACTTATAGCCAAGAAAAGCCAGACAATACAAATTCCTTGGCACAGGCTGAGTAATGCTGACACTGGAAGCATGCTGCTTTCACACCATAGGAAAATCCATGTAACTCTGCTACAGCAAAGAGGAAACAAAGAGCACCCAAGAAACATTTCCAAAGTTCAGGGACTCATTCTTCTGAGACATCCTTATGAAATTTGACTTTGTGAAAGGTCAGGGCAGAAATGATCTTCATCTTTAGCCTCAAATTCCCACAACCCTTTCCACAGTTGCAACATACATCAGAGAACAAAAAAATCTGCACCTAACCTGCCACATGGAAGTAAAGGAAGTTTTGCCCAGTGGCATAAACAGTAACAGCTGGACCTAAAAAGAACACGAGAAGCAGCTGAACAAATTGGCTGAACAGAGTGTTAAGAGCTTCCTATATTGAAAGTAATGTAGAAAATAGTAGTTCAGATGAGAGACTAAGGCACCAGCCCCAAGACTAGAAACTGCATGAGTTTGTGGCTCCACCTACTCTACTGTACAACAGCGGTCACCCGCAGATGGCAAGCTCCTTGAGTGTATATCCACAGCTCAAATTTCATCTACTAGAAGTTTCTAGTTCTGCAAAGCCAAGGTAAACTTGCAAAGACAAACAGTTCAAACAACAACTCATTAAACACTTGTGGATTTGGAGTTCTGTTGCTTTTCAAACCATAAACTGAACAGAATACAGCTACGTGACTCTGAAGATCTATGGAATAGTTTTCAACTATTACAAAACAAACAATGGAAGTATTTGATACTTACCTCGCCATCATTGTGATAAGCTCTCTCCCACTGCTATCCTCTATGAGAGATCTACATTCTCCTGTAGACTCCATTTATATTCAAAAAAACAGGGACAACTACGTACCTGGGCTTATAAAACTACAGAACCACAACTGGCTCCATAAGTTGCATCCTGACTATTTTGAAAGATTTCCTTCCCAAACTCTTTACTAAACTGCAGCTAGGCATGCATTAACTTAGGGGAGGAAAGTATCTTCTACACAATGGCACCACAACATTAAATAGCAAAATTACACAAACAGTAATGAGAATTTAATTAATCTGTACTCAGATAACCCTTCTCTCTTCCCTCCATTTCTACAAAACCTCACTTAACTAGTGCAAACATCAGTTTCCTACATTGCAATATGAAGCACTTCTCTGTAGCTCACGAAGAGACACACAAATACTGATTTTTCATTGAGAAATACTGACAATGAACTACAGGCTACAGGAGTACGAAAATTCCACCCATGTCTGGCAACTGGGAAATAATACATATTCAAAAAGGTTTTTTTAAAACACATTTTTAATACAACTTACTTGAAGTTTTGCTAGCTGAGCTGTGCGAGACACTATTTTGTTGTAGGGGTCAACAATTTTGACTCTAATTCTAAAAATAAGAAGAGAAATTTATTTATAACAGTATTAAAAAAATAACATGATAGAACAATTAAGAATTTATACTTTTTTGCATAATGAATGGCATACCTATCAACAGTACTTTGTAGAGCACCAATTCTAGTCTGCATCATTTGGAGGACACCTGCAAAATAAAGCAGATTTTTTACATGGAACACTTGTCAATTATAAAAAGAACTATTCTTCAAATCACAGTAACTACTGCAGACTACTTTACCAAAAAAACCCAGTTTCCCCCTTTACAACAAAGCATTCAAACAGATTGAAATTAATAAAACACAGCGTATTTGGAAATAAACTGAGCAAGTAATAGGTCACTTACTGAATGATATGGAAAATCTATTGGTAGAGAACACAGACCTACAGAGAAATATCACTCTAAAGTCCATCATATGTTAAGTTTCAAATAATATTTAGAGTATGTTGCTTTCGAAGAGAATGATGATCAGGACTGCTGTTCAAAGGCATATAACCTGGTACAAATGCCTGAACATGATATACAAAAATGGCACAACCGATTTAACTTTATTTGTTTAACATAGTGACTAGACAATTCAGAGAAATCAACAGACAAAATAGGACTGAGAAGATGACCAATTCTATTTCAAGGTTTTCTTCCTCTGCATAAGCATCTTTAGCAAAAAAGTAACGTAACAATGTCATTGTGAGATCATCTAATTTAGATTAAAAACAGAGCTAACTACCCTAATCGTGTTTGTTCCAGATTCATTTGGCAAAGCAGGACAAAGAAAGCCCACAAGCACGCTTGTTCTTTTCTTGTTAAATTGCAAACAAAGTAGTCAAGGGTAGCAGTCATTTTTTTGCAATATGGAATCAGCCTGCTGAGAATTTAATTAAGTTACACAAACCCAGGCCTATGAAATTATTTTTGTTCCAGTTATTGTTAGCATTCTCAAACATACTACATTTTTGTGAAGTCCTGTTTATGAGCCTATCATCATCAAATTGGATAAAACTGCAATATGATACAGTGAGATGGAAGATAAACAAAACTACTGCAAATAGTTTTATTCAGCTTGTCCTGTACTGGGACTACATCTCACGTATTTTATATAAATATGCAAACTCCCATTTCTCCATATTTCAGAATTATTAATTTGGCTTAGTGACAGACTCAGGACTTCTCTGACATTTATACGTGGAATGGCAGGCATGCAATTCTCACGCATCAGAGGATGAAGATATTATATACAGTGAAAAGTTGGCAAAACAGGCTGAATTTTCCACTCTATATTGCAATAACAGGGGAGGGTCAGTAGCATGACATTGCTGCATCTATGACTGTGACACTGCTATAAAGCATACAGCAGTCCTCTTGCCAGAAGGCAGAGTTAGGATGGGTGAAAAGGCAATTTACGCTCTCCATCTGCTGGGTAAGATACAGGATGATACTGTTTAGCCTATCTTGAGCTAACAGGTAGTTCAAGATATCTATTGAGCTACCTATAGACAGAAAAGAGTATGTATACCAGAGCAGTATGCCATTTAAAAAGTGCACATACCTAAAAAAGAAAGGACTCTACAAGCTGGGTATATCAGTTTGAAACGTTTAATGAGATTCACTTTCACGCATCCAAATGATGGTGCGTGCTGTGAATTAGTTTTCCATAATCTTCACTTGCTAACTTTCTTGATAAACACACCAAGAGCTATGTGTTTCTAATGTCATAATTAAAATTTCTATTGACATCCATCTTTTCTTTTTCTTATAAATCTTGTCTCAGTGTTTCTCTACAGTGACCATATATCACATGTAGCACAAGCAGGGCAGAGATGAGAAAGTTTTGCAAAACTTAAAACATCATCATTGTGTGCATAGATGCTTGATTTTCCTGGCAACTGCAGACTGAAGTTTCTACTGATGCCTCGAGTATCAAACACTTTTCAGGATTAGAACCTCTGCATGCTTCTTCTCTCCTAACACGCAGAAAAGGCCCCTTGAAGAGCATAACCCTAAGTAAATGGAGAAATTTCAGCAAATTTGAAGTGATTCAGATTCTATTTTTACTTCAGGTTATTAAATGTAACACATGTCTTATTTACCACGCCTGCCTTATAGAAATGTTTTATAACTGAATAGCTGTTTTGAAGTACTTAATTCTTTCCTCAGAGCAATTTTAGGAAGGAGTCCTTCAGAAACAACCACGATTTCAGAAAACACAGTTCCACTGAGCACAAATTGCTAAAGATCGTCACTGGGAAGTATTTATCAGTCACAATATTGACTACAGATTCCTATCTACTTCTTACTTGGAGAATGAACAGAGATTCCAGTCTTCCTATGCTTAATTTTCCAACTGTTTAAAAAGCTATTTGGGAGCTACAATTGGTAGATTAAATAGGCATTTCTTTATTTTTATAGCTATATGCAAATGCTAACAATTGAATACTGTATCCAACAAGTTCCAAAGACTAAGAAGATATAACTGTCAGTAACCAGAAACTCTCTGGTTATGCCAAAACCTGCAAGCAGAAGAAGGAACAAAGATAAATTACTTTGCAAGTTACAAAATGGAAGGGGAAAAGGGGATATGCTTGGATCCCATAGTATATGCAAATTAGCATGTTATAGAAGTAAATAACTTTCTGCATTAAAAAAACAAACAAAACCACATGAAGCTCCCAGCAAGTGACAAAGAGCAGAATGGCAAGTCTAATGAACTCCTGGCACAAGAACAATATACTGCAACCATTGTTCTATACAAATTCAATGGCTCCTAAGTAAGGCCTTTGGAAGTCACCAGTTTATGTTAAAATCCAGATCCCAAACAGTAGAATAACACAAAGGTATGTATTTAATTTAGCAGCCCCTTACTAGGAAAAAAAACCATCTCAATGCAGTTAAGATTATGCATTAAAGCCTCTTTGGTTAAGATTTGCAAACTATGCAACACATGCATACGCAACATGCACAGACTTGGTGCTTACAGCAACAGATATCAGCTAATGTTGCAACAAAATTAGGCTTATTTAGAAAAATACATTAAAAGGTCAAAAAGACTTGTTTGCTAAAGTTGCTCAGAACTGATTATCAAAATATGTTTACATATGAAGTAGTTATGCCAGAGAAGTATCAGCCAAATTTCCTCCCTGGAGCTCCATCTACTGACATCAAAAAAACCCTGCCTCATGTTACTCCTCAGAAATAAGATCCGTAGCATTAACATTAGGGGCCAAAGTTGGCAGTGAACGACATTCCCTGCACAGATATTAAAAGTGCTTCCTCCATTGTAAGAAGTAGCAAGCATAATATAATGGTATTTATGCATAATATAACAGTATTTACCTTCCAGGGATTCAATTCCAGTTGCTTGGGCCAACAGGTCTTCGTGTCTTGCTACAACCTTAACAAATAGAATAGAGAAATCAACACAGAAAAATGGGGAATATCATCATCATCCCTGCGTTAGGCAGACACAGGAAAAAGCAGCCACACCTTAAAGATGAAAGGGTTTTCAGAACACGTTTTAATTCATAAAAGCGGCAAAGTCAGAATGAGAACTGCAGCGTAGCTGACATCTTAACTAAAGCCAGCAGAGCAATCACATTTCAACACACCTTCATATATAGTAATAATAGTAAATATAAGCTCATTAATCACACAGTAATAATGTATAGTCTCATTTTTAATATTTTCTGTTTATGACGTTTAGAAATTAGTTCCCAAAGAATTTACCAATTGCAGCAGGGGGAGGGAGGAAACAGGTTTTGAAACTACACAGAAACTTCGCATGCGTTCTCACTGCAAGCTCCACTGTGGATTTGCGGTGTCTGCACAGATTTTACCAAAAAGCTTTCTACTGTTCAAACTCAAAAGCCTTTCTGAAGGTGTGGAGGTGTCTTAACATATATTTGCCCAGATAAAGGTAAGTCTTAGAGCTAAGGCTGCTCTCCAGCACAGGATGAAAGGGTGCAAGTTAAACCATTCCCTATCTTCTCACAACTGTCATCCCAAAACACAGGCCAGCATTTCTGATAGCTGACATGATCATTTGGAAAGAGTCAGGGAACATCCTTACAAGGAAGAGCAGAACGTCTATGTACACAGATACTGGCTGCAGAAACTGAAAACAAAGCAGTATATGGCTTCTTGGTAGGAGTATTAAGAGTGGGCTTGACTGAGTTAAGTATCAGATTCACTACTAGTTTTGCTGGAAGTTGTACCTTTAGTTACTGCTTGCAGAATACACCAGGCAATTTCAGAAGCAACAAGATCATACGATTACTAAGCTTTTGACCAGTTTATATCAACCACCCCAGAATAACAGGTATGCTTTAAACTTACTTGTAAATGAAGCTCTTTATCCAACTGACTAATACCTTGGGCAAGTTTTGCCAGTTGCTCAGCTATCACAGCCTGATGGATAGACTGGGAAGTGTAAGCTTTCACATCAAAGTCTTCTCTGAAGAAGTCAGCATAACATTCTGAAAAAGATTTAGATTTTATCTTCACACTTCAAAACAGTTAAATAATTTTTACGAATCTAAAGTGTACAGTTCTTTGACCTTTGCTTTCTTCAAGCATTCTCTACATCACATAATACAAATGAGACACTGATTTGAGAAGAGACCACAATCAAGAGAAACAACTTTGGAGCTGATGACTGGGGAGGGGGGTGTAAATGGTGAAAAAGGCACATGTTCCTTTACTCCCCCTAGTCTGTTCTTGAGTGGAATACACTAAAAAGTATTGCTACCTTCTTCTTCAAACTTTACAGTGTAACCAGGGTGAGGCTGTTGAGGTTGCACCCATAACCAAACACACACTAGTCACCTTCCAATCGCTGAGGACTGAAGCGGCATGAGACACGACTTCATGTAATCATACCAGACTCTTACAATGGTACTGCTTTATGAACTACACAATCAGTGATACTGCAATGATGATTTTGGATCAAGCACGACCCGTGCTTCCAGACAGTGCATACTAATATTACCAAGCGCTTCCGTCTCTCCTTTTAGTACACTTTTTTTGTCCTTTAGGAGCAAGCGCCCAGAGGTGAACCCGCCACCTCGCAGGGCCGCG